TTTATGTCAGAGGTATACAACCACTTAAAGTGGTGCATAAAAACAATCTCTTCGCTGCCTCTTTGATGCACTTTCATAAAAATGCAGGTTATGTAGAGTTCAGTGGTAACATGCCTAAAACCCTTGTTAAACACACCTAAAACGCACTGTACAGATGAACCAGATAACTGCAAAGTCCATCCAGTCAGGGGTGAATTTATCACAAGGCAAACAAGCATTTGCCTAGGATGGCATTTTTCAGGGGGGGGCAGCACTGCCCCTCGGAAGAAGAGACACATGCGACATGGGGACCTGGTGGGTTCTGAGAGAGGCTGTGGGTTTCATGATGGTGTATGCACAGCCTGACTCTTTTTCCCAGGGGATGTCGGAGCTGTGAAGGTGAGTGTCTTTTTCTGTCTTGCCGTGGCAGATGGTGGCTGGTGTATGGGGGGCAGTGGTAGTGTAAGGCTCTCCATGCAGGGGGGTGGGGGGGCACTGATGCCTAAGGCAGCACAAAACCTAAATGCACCACTGCATCCAGTTGGTTCCACAAAGCTTCCTCTCTAAAATGCTCTTGGCTGCATTTGCACTCCTGTCTCCTTTGTGTATCGCCCTGCCAATGTCCTGTTTTACACATGATAATACAGAGAGACCGCCCACAGACCAAAAGTTCAGGGAGAAGCTGAGAGCACCAGAGACTGCCAGAGTGGTGAGTCAGGCCAGCTAATACAATCTGTTTCTTTACCCCCCGGATATATTGCGCATTTAACCCTTGCAGTGTGTATGGGGGGGAGGGTCCTATTGCAAGGGTAGACTTTGTGTAATTCCTGGTGTTGCACTTTAATGTTTACCATAGCAATATGAGTCTAGCCTTGGAATCATTGCTGTGATCTTCAGGACATTTGAGAATGAATTACTTACGAGTACACGCAGCTAGAGAAGTCACAGATGCTTTGTTTTAAAGATCTTATACTACTAGTCAAGAATATGTACATCATTTAATGTCATAGTTTAGACCAGTGATTCTCAACCAGGGTTCCTTCAGGTATTGCAAGGGGTTTCTTGAACTTTTACTGTCTGACCTCCTATTTAGTGGTCCCTTCATAGTTCCAGGGCCAATGCCATTTGGTAGAGCCAGCAGCATGATACCAGTGATCTTTTTAGCTGCCGGTAAGGGTGGCATTCTGACTACCACTGTATGGGCTTCAATCCTTCTACTGACCACCAGTGCAAGGGGCATTTTTTCTACTGACCCCCGATGAGTCGCTTTTAGTAAGGGTTCCCACGAGACCTGAAAAGTATTTGAGGGGTTCCTCTGGAGTAAAAAGTTTGAGAAAGGCTAGTCTAGACACAGGTGCATTTTATAATTCAAATCTTCAATAAACAGTGTGCTGTAGTCACAGGCTAGAAAGAAAGGTGCATTCCTGTAAAGATCACTGGCTATTAACCTTTGTTTGTTATCTGCTAAGTAAATGAGTCAGGTCCTGCAATGAGTGCCATATACAACCATTATCCAGCAGTAGATGAGATGTGATTATGTATAACTAGAATCAAACTCTGATTGCCTTCCTCTACTAAACACTGCGGCTACAGCACTCTTATCCTGAGAATGAGCAAAGTGCATCAACCAGCAGAGATGTTCCTACGGTGTTCTTCAATACAGAGTGATTCAAATGCTATTTATGGCAGCAAACACAGTGATTTCCAGCCCTGTGGGAATTTTCCAACCATTAGTGGCTATGACAGATTGCACTGTTTATAAAAAGAATTGTAACAACAGTTAACTTTCTTACTCTGGAATTTGAATTACAGATGGGACAGTCGATTTTGCAGTGGGCCTATTTGGGCTCTTTTGTTCTCTACAGCATTCAGTTTATAAAACAAATTAATATTAATGAAAGTGCTGAAATATTACCTTTTCTGTAGAAGGCGCTGTGCTGGAAAGATCAAACGACCAATACTTAGGCATTTGCTTGTGTGCCTGACACTGGAGGATGCCCAGAAGAGTTGTTTCTGCAAAAAAAAAAAAAAATACAAATTTCCACACTTTTATTACCATTTATTGACCTCAAAGACCCAGTTCACAAAATGTATTATCATACTATAATAACTTGACTATAAGTCTGTTTTAATGGCTAAGGCAATACTAAATAAATTATATAAATGTTATGTATAAAAATAGTATGGTAAGATAAGGCAACAGATAATTTAGTAGGCTGACTCTAAGGCACGTTCAAACTGAGGAGTTTTGAAGTGCTTTTGCGCTAAAAAAGGTGCCTGAAAAGCTCACGAAAAATGCTTCCCTATGTATATCTCAGGGGCGAACTGACCATTTGAAAACTTGGGCGCTGCCTGAGGGCCCGGGGTCAGTAAGGGGCCCCATGAGATGCCCCTGGTACCTTTTTCATAGGCTTTTTTGAGTTTCGGCAAGGACACAGAGGCCCCATGATCCCCTATTGCCCGGGGGCCCCATGAGTTGTCAGTCCGCCCCTGGTATGTCTATGTATGCTTTCACACTGCGGCGTTGCACTTCCGTTGCAGTGTAAAAACTCCTGCTTGCAGCATCTTTGGAGCACATTTGTTCAGTTAAAAAAAAACGCCCCAAAATGCCTCTTCTCATTGAAATCAATGGAAAACACCTCTGAGAAGCATTTTTGATGCAGTTTTTAAGTCCTTTAAAAAACGCCTATGCGTGTTTGCTGTGTTTTTGCGCAGATCAGTGAAAGTAGCCTAATATACAGTATGTTGGCTAAACAGTGGTGAAATGTCATGTTTTAACCTCAACAGCAATAATAGATAATGCATGGGTTAAACTGAAACTAATCTGGAATGAATGGATGAAGACTGTCAGTCTTTGGTCATCTAATAATTGCATGTCTGTCACTGTGCCCTGAATTTATCTTCATATCATATCAGTCTAGAGAGAGTGTCAAAGCAGTATTAAACACAAAACCAAAGATGTAATATCCCACATGGAAGAAAAATATATTTGAAATATATTTTTAAAACTTTCCTTCCCAAATATATTGACATATATTTGAAATGCTACAATTTTGGCTATATTCAATATATTTAAAAAAAAAAAAAATATATATATATATATATATATATATATATATATACAGTTGTGGCCAAAATTATTCAACCCCCACTGAAATTGAGTGTTTTGGCCAGTTTGACATTGCTTTTGATCATTCAGTCATCTTGCTTACATTTACATTAAAGAGGCACTTGTAGGTCAGACAAATATAACATAACAGTTATAATGAAATAACCACAAATGTCTTTTCTGTGCTCACAGCATTATCAGTTTTATTCAACCCCCAAGTGACATTCAATCTTAGTACTTAGTACAGCATCCTTTTACAGTTATAACAGCTTTTAAACGTGAAGCATAGCTTGACACAAGTGTCTTGCAGCGATCTACGGGTATCTTCGCCCATTCTTAATGGGCAAAGGCCTCCAGTTCAGTCACATTCTTAGGCTTGCGCACTGCAACTGCTTTCTTTAAGTCCCACCAGAGGTTCTCAATCGGATTTAAGTCTGGTGACTGCGATGGCCACTCCAAAATGTTCCAGCCTTTCCTCTGCAACCATGCTCTAGTGGACTTGGAGGTATGCTTGGGATCATTGTCCTGTTGAAAGGTCCAACGTCTCCCAAGCCTCAGGTGTGTGACGGACTGCATCACGTTTCCATCCAATATCTCCTGGTACTGAAGAGAATTCATGGTACCTTGCACACGCTGAAGCTTCCCTGTACCTGCAGAAGCAAAACAGCCCCAAAGCATGATTGACCCTCCACCATGCTTCACAGTAGGCAAGGTGTTCTTTTCATCATAGGCCTTGTTCTTCCTCCTCCAAACATAGCGTTGATCCATGGGCCCAAACAGTTCTAATTTTGTTTCATCAGTCCACAGAACACTATCCCACAACTTTTGTGGTTTGTCCACATGGCTTTTGGCATACTGCAGTCGACTCTTCTTATTCTTTGGAGACAGCAAGGGGGTACGCCTGGGAGTTCTGGCACGGAGGCCTTCATTACGCAGTGTGCGTCTTATTGTCTGGGCTGAAACTTCTGTACCCACATCTGACAAATCTTTTCTCAGTTCCTCAGCAGTCACACGGGGACTTCTCTCCACTCTACGCTTCAGGTAGCGCACAGCAGTCGAAGTCAGCATCTTCTTTCTGCCACGACCAGGTAGCGTTTCAACAGTGCCCTTTGCCTTGAATTTGCGAATGATGCTTCCTAAGGTGTCTCTTGGTATGTTTAACATCTTTGCAATCTTCTTATAGCCATTGCCCTTCCTGTGAAGAGAAATCACCTCTTCTCTTGTCTTCCTGGACCATTCTCTTGCCTTCACCATGTTTGTAACCACACCAGTAAATGTCTAGAAGGAGCTGAGTATCACAGTCATTTTAAAGCTGCCTAATTGGTGCTTATTATGCTTGATTGCTGCTCGGTGACATCCACAGGTGTTTTCAATACCTGATGGAAAGCACCTGTATGAACCTCTGTTCTTCAGAGTGGTAGTCTTTAAGGGGTTGAATAATTGTGGCAATGAAGAAACCACATAAGAACCATTTACTACTGTATTACATAAACAATTGATGTCATTTTAGTTGCATTTGGGTAGTTACAACGTCCTTGTAGGATTTGATTCTGAATACAATTCCAAATGTACACTATAGTCCCTAAACCCCTTTACAGCATTGGGGGTTGAATAATTTTGGCCACAACTGTATATATATACTGCATGTTGACATGCGTATTTATTACAAAATATATGAAAAATATTATTAAAAATAAATTTCAAATATAGTGTATTTATATGCAAATCTACATTTTTGGAATGTATTTACAAATATATGTAAAAATATATGTTAAAATTACTTTTTTATATGTTAAAAAAATCCGTAGAATATTTTTTAAAAAATATATTTTTAAAAATATATATTTTTAAAATATATTCTTCCGATTTTTTTTAACATATAAAAAAGTTGTTTTAACATATATTTTTATATATCTCTCTATCACTTACCTTGTCCTGTGCTCCCACGATGTCCCTCCTGCAGTGTCCCCGGCAATGTAATCCGGCGGATGCCGGCATCTGTCTTCTGGGTTCCGTCCCCTGCGAGCGTCGGGACGTATGGCGACGGAACGGCGGGAAATTTGAAAATGACAAAAAGTGACATTCACTAAAATCACATACTAAAACATTACTGTATCAAACCATTTCACATACATTTTGTCCCTAGTGCTTTGTCCTGTGCCCTGCCTACATTTTTACTGTTCTTATTGATTGGAAACTGAGAAACGTCCATAGCGTCCAAAAAGCGTCCCTTTAGGTCAAAAGTGGTTTTAGACCAGCTAGAGAACAGCAATAGTAAATTAGAACCACTTGCAGAATTGAGTGATAGTGATTCGTGGGGAAATTCGTCATTAGACAGTGAAAATGATTTTGCGACTTGCCGCTATATTTCAAATTTTAGTGCTTTTGGTTTGATATATTATTGAATTAAATTTATTATTATTATATTATTATTATTTATGATTATTTATTAAATTATAATTTATGATTTTGTGCTTCAAGTTTTATCCTACCCGGGATGTTTACTAGACTCTTGTTCGGACAGATTTCAGTGAGTTATTCCTAAGAATTACAGGCCTACAATATAAAACACCAAACTTCCATGCAAAATATTGGTACCGCTTTCAGCACCAAAAAATCTGAAATAATCATACCGCCAGGGAGGTTAAGGTTGTACCCAGCATTCAGTAATTATTGCAGAGTGCCAGAACACCTAGTCACAAATGAAGCCTGTGTTACAGCTCTGAGGAAGGGGACTGGATCCTCGAAATGCGTCAGCAGCTTGTTGTCATCTCGTCTCCAGGTGGAGTTGGAGAGTGGATTTTTCTACATGACTTTATGCATTTTTATGTTTTTAAGCTTGCAATGTTTATGAGTATATTTATGCTTGTTTTGTACAATAAAATGTCAAGGGTAATGCGCTAGGCGTTTGCGACCTCTCTGTTGTTTATGGTTTAAACAGTGCTGGATTTCCCCGATCTGAGGAGGGTTGTACTGCTGTTTCTCTTTCTATACCCTGGTTGTTACTAGACTGGCTATCTCAGTCATATGATGGGTGCCTCTGTTTACTTCTGAGCACTTGGGTGTCAAGTATGCTTGTTCTATTTTTCTCACAGCTGTTAGCACTAGTAATCAAGGAGTGGAAAAACATTGTGATTGAGCCACATTTTTTCTGCCCTCTAATCGCTCCCCCTTTAGCTGCAGAGGCAGCCGCTGGGGAAATGTACACATGTTGTGGCAACCATGGTTTGCTTCAAAGCCGGGGCAGGACTTATACCCCCTGTTTCTACAACCACTAAGTATTACCCATTCATGTGAATGGGACCACTCTGCAAGTGCAAGTGAGCACTAATTCAGGGCTCAAAGGGTTAAAGCAGGTGATGAGGAGGTGATACAGTGCCTCCTCACTGCCTCTCAAATGTTCTCTGAAGAGCAATGCGCAGTGCTAGGGCCTGCCTGATGGGATATAAAAATGATTGGATGGACTAACCAGGTCCTCATAATACATTGGGTCCAGGGGCGGACTGACCATTTGGAAACTCGGGCACTGCCCGAGGGCCCGGGGTCAGTAGGGGGCCCCATGAGATGCCCCTAGTACCTTTTTCATAGGCTTTTTTGAGTTTGGGCAATGACACAGGTGCCCCATGATCCCCTAAAGCCCGGGGGCCCCATGAGTTGTCAGTCTGCCCCTGGTCGGGTGCTGGTGCCGCCATCCTGACTAAGGGAAACCAGCAGTGAAGCCTTGCAGCTTCACAGCCAGTTTCCTACTGCACATGCCCAAAGCACACTGCGCTTTGTGGATGAGCTGCAGTCCTCTGGGACCTGTGAAGTGTCCCAGAGGGCTGCAGGGGGTGAACTTTGCTCGGGTACATATGTTCATAGAAACCATCTTCCAGGTTTTATTGCCAAAGCTTAATTGAACAAGATGAGGTTAGAAGCTGATTGCCTACTATGCACAGCTGCACCAGATTCTGAATGCTCCAGTTTAGTAAATCCCCCCCATAGTTTTGGTAAATCTAAGGCCTGTAGAAGAGCTAGAAGGTCCGAGTGCATAGCCTGATTGCCTGTGGTTTCTCCATTCCTCCTCCACTTCCGGTGACGTCATATCTACCTTGCATTCCACGTTGGTTGGTGTGGACAACCTGAGTTCCCCAGCCATCTCCATACCATCTACACCATCTACAGCTACGTGACTTTGGCAGGCGGTACTTGCGGAATGGAGAGGAGCGACGGACCATGCATAACAGATGAGCCCTTATTATTCTTTCTCTTGTAAGTGTTTTTAACCCTGTGTTAATAAACCGCATCTCTTAATGTTACACTTAGGTGGTGTTTCCACCCTTCTTTCTCCTTTATCTTATGCATTGCTGGACAAACTCTGAGGATAGCAGCCGCCGGTGTTACAGCCATGTGTTTATTTATATGGACTCTGGACTTTTATGGATTCTTGAATACTTGTCCAGTCCCAGTACCTTGTTTGCATGTTATATGCCTGTGTGCCAGTCACCAATTTCTATTATTGTCTGCAGATTATTTGCACAGCACTATACTGTATTAATGGTGTGACCCTCCTGCGCTCCAAAATGTGTGTTAAACCAAATTGAAATAATAAATGAACCCCAAACAGCTGCTAACATTAAATCATATACCAATGATCAAGTGAATATAAACCATAAAAATGCTGCGCTACATTCAAACTAATTAAAGTAAATGTGGAATTCAATAGCTCAAATGAAATAATAGCAAATAATGATAAATATATTATATATTGAAATGTGCTAAGTGATAACACAAAAATGATGAAAAAAACACAAACTTAAATCAATACGCATGTGCATAAAAAATGCACATACATATATTAGATCACACGTGCAAAAAAATGTGAAGTGAAGATACATCTAAATCATACACACAAAAACAAAGTCCAATAATGGAGTAAAGTCCAATAATGGAATATAAAAGGTGAAAAAATGTTTTTGTTTTGGTAAACTGTGTTTCCAATATGCTGTAAAGTGACCACAGGTGAAACAAAACGTGCAGGTATCTGGGTGTAGATAACTTGTGAATCCAACCACCTTCTGGATTAGCCTCTCACCTCATCTCTTCGACCCTTGCGGGTCAAAGAGCAGTATGGATCCCTCTCACAGATCCTCCAGGCACCAAAGCACTCCAAAACCACTTCTCAGGATATAATATTCCCACTCAGCTCTTCTCCAAATGTAGATGAAATATCACTTTCCCAGAACAAAACAAAGGGATCCTCCCATAGTTAGTGGAGCGACGGAACCATGTAGTAAGTTTATTATGCCATAGGAACATCAAATCTTTAATAAAAATGCACTTACGTAGCAGCCAGTCCACATTAAACCCTCATGCTCTCAAATGAGGATATGTGTATGTAAGTTGGGTGTACAGCTGAGTCCACAGGTGTACCAAAATGGCCGCCACGCCGGAAATACGTCACCGCGCTACGCCGACGCGTTACGTCACAATATCACGTGACTTCATCAGGGCCTGATGAAGTCACGTGATATTGTGACGTAACGCGTCGGCGTAGCGCGGTGACGTATTTCCGGCGTGGCGGCCATTTTGGTACACCTGTGGACTCAGCTGTACACCCAACTTACATACACATATCCTCATTTGAGAGCATGAGGGTTTAATGTGGACTGGCTGCTACGTAAGTGCATTTTTATTAAAGATTTGATGTTCCTATGGCATAATAAACTTACTACACTATGGGAGGATCCCTTTGTTTTGTTCTGGGAAAGTGATATTTCATCTACATTTGAAAGAGCTGAGTGGGAATATTATATCCTGAGAAGTGGTTTTGGAGTGCTTTGGTGCCTGGAGGATCTGTGAGAGGGATCCATACTGCTCTTTGACCCGCAAGGGTCGAAGAGATGAGATGAGAGGCTAATCCAGAAGGTGGTTGGATTCACAAGTTATCTACACCCAGATACCTGCACGTTTTGTTTCACCTGTGGTCACTTTACAGCATATTGGAAACACAGTTTACCAAAACAAAAACATTTTTTCACCTTTTATATTCCATTATTGGACTTTACTCCATTATTGGACTTTGTTTTTGTGTGTATGATTTAGATGTATCTTCACTTCACATTTTTTGCACGTGTGATCTAATATATGTATGTGCATTTTTTATGCACATGCGTATTGATTTAAGTTTGTGTTTTTTTTCATCATTTTTGTGTTATCACTTAGCACACATTTCTTAATATAATATATTTATCATTATTTGCTATTATTTCATTTGAGCTATTGAATTCCACATTTACTTTAATTAGTTTGAATGTAGCGCAGCATTTTTATGGTTTATACTATACTGTATTGCCACGTTAAATCTGTCACAGGAACTCATCAAAAATGCCCGGCTATGTCCTCACCTCCCATAGTGGGACACACTTATCTTCACATACTGCTGTAACTTTCTACTCAGTTTTCTCTTCCCAGTAATAATGTTGCACTTCATGGTTGCCATTGAAGGAGCCAGCAAATTAGGAGCCCGATGTTTGGTGTGTGTGTGGATAGCGGTGTAAACAGTCATGATGCAAAATATATGGGAATACAATGCAATCTTTAGAAATATAATTCAAATATAGCTAAATTTATCTGTCCTTAGTTTTGGCTAGAGATGGCAATGGTTAAAAAGCATTGCCAGTTTTTACTGCCCCCTGTGTCCAATTGGGGTAAGTCTTCTCCACGCTTTGGAAACCCTCCATAGTGAGGAGACATACCTCTCATAGGAATATGGACCTTTGTTGATGGGCTTTTGCTCAGGTTAGGTGGGTTTTGCAGTCCTAAACATTTCTATAGGGTTGAAAAACCTGCTTGGAGCAGCTTAAATGCAGAAAAGTAGTTCAATTGCAGGTCAGATACCACTGACTCAAATCCAGAGTCTGTTCACATAGCCCCTAGCTGACCATTGATGATGTCAGTACAGACTCCACCCCGACATGTTTCGTCCCAGAAGACATTCTCAAGGGGTAGGACTCCTTGAGAATGTCTTCTAGGACAAAACATGTCAGGGTGGAGCCTGTGCTGACATCAACATGCTACTGGACTGATTAGTGCCTGGGTTTTTTTGTTTTGCTCATATACTCTGCTACTTAGTCCTTGTTGCTAAAAAAGGTAAAAATGGTTTTACACTATAGAGCTTATTATTTGTTTTCTTTGGTAAAGTCCTGACACATGTTGAGTGGAGGTCCTGGCTGCTGCTAAATCCCTTTGATCTCTGCTGGTGTGTCATGTGATTCCCAGTCATCCTAAGCCATTTCCATTGTGTGTGTGAACTGACCTCTGAAGCTTTGAAGTCTGTTCATCTGGTAAGAGGCTGCCATTTTATATATTGGTGATGGAGTAACATGGGATTTTGAAGAAGCTTTCCTAACACTGGATCACAATTATATGTGTTGGACATTTATACACATCAAAGGTATAGCGCATCAACGTTTGCTTATGGCTGTTTTACATGGTTTATTTTATATATGTTTAACTGCTTTCTGTCCATAGGTAATTTTTAAACGATCTTGACTTCAAGTGGTTAAAAAAAGCTCACGACTGCAAAAAAAAACTGCAAACCTGTCACCCTGCATACACACACAAATGCAAACAGATGCATAGGGTAACCATGTGTATGTAGGGCCATCATTCACAGTTACCTCCTAAATTAGAACCTGTAAAGGCTTTTAAAGCATCACCTAGGGACAGGTTTGGGTACTGCCATTTTTTGACATTTCACAGGCATATGTAATTTTAAGACATAACATGCTGGTATCTATTTACTCAACACAACCCCTGTGTGCTAAAATGTATTTTATTCTAAAAGTAATGATTTGATAAACATTTATGCAAATATTGCATCTTATAAAAAAAATTGCAACTGCCACCATTTTATTCTAAAGGGCCGCTGCTTTCAGAAAATATATAATTGTTTGGACGTTTTAAGTAATTTTCTAGCAAAAAATGCACATTTTAACATACAGTTTGTGATTTTTTTAAAAAAATACCATAAACAGAGAGGGTTTTTCCTTTTAGGAAACTGTAATTTCAGATATACTTACCAGTTTACAATTTCTTCTTTGTTTTCCTGCCTAATTGCATCTGCCGTTGCTTAATAAAGGTGTCACTAAGATTAAGTTCAGACTGTTTTGTTAAGGCATACACTTAGGAAGTCTTCACATGTGATTGCTCAATGCACTGAGGAAATGTTGGCCTGGATGTTGAGTATGCTTTGTACTGTCATACTCCAGCATAATTTTCTGTGTAACAAGATAATGACTTCGTTATTCCGCTAGCTGTTCCTGGGAAGGAAGTCTGGCTTCAGTTTAATGAGGCAAAAAATGTTAGTAATGTCGGAATATGTGGCAAGTGCTGCAGAGCCTTTCAATATTGTTATTAGTTGAGAATGTTTTATTTTTAAATTGTGTTGGCATAGCTGTGTTGTCCAGATGGTGGCTGTAAGGCAGCCGTGTCATATAAAGCATAGGGGCATGTATGTTATTGAACTTTGCAAGGCTCAGTGGAGTAATCATTTAAAATGACTCTGTAATTATGATCTACTAAACAAGGTAATACAGCTGCTGTAAAACATATTACATAACATATAACATATTGCTGTCCATCTGCAAATTTACAGACAGTTTGTAAAAATTGGGCAATTTTTACACTGTCCACAAATATGCATTACAAACGGTGGCTGCCCATAAAAATTTTGCCACACGCCAGCCTCGGAACTGTGCATGCGCAGTTACTAAGCCAGCCAGCCAGGCTATGGTAGGGCACGTGGTGGCATCATGTCTCCTGCTTGGTGCCTTTTAGAATTTGTAGGAGGGGAAGCTGAGAGCGAGAGTGCCAAAATGGGGAAGGACTGTCTAATTGGAGTCCAGCATGAAGAGGAAGGATCAAGGAGCAAAGGAGGACCGTCACCCGGACCATTGTCTGATTGAGCCTCAGTGACAGGAGCGCCAAGATGGGGAGGAGTCCAGCTGGAGGATGAAGAAGCAGAGGGGGACCATGGCCTGACTGAGTCTGCAAGAGCAGTGGCATCTCCAGCTGCCCAGGCCACAAAATCTTTGGGGGGGGAAACACTGATGTGAAGGGGGACTCGGGGTGAATACACTAAAGTAGGGGGGGAAATTATATAAAAGGTTCCTCCTTATATCATTACTCCCCCCTTACCTTAGTGTATTCACTCTGCGGAAGGTGATTTGTGGTCACCAGAGTCCCCCCCACATCAGAGTTCCCAGTGTGCCCCCTTAAATCAGTGTCTCAGAGCTCTCCTTTACATAAGAGTTTGCAGGATTCCCACTTACAGTGTAAAAAAGAACTCTGATGTAAAGGGGAATGCTGCAGACCATGATGTATGGGGAATGCTGCAGACTCTGTTGTAAGGGGGGCTCAGGTGATCAGAGACCACTTTTCCCCCTTACATCAGGGTCTGCAGAGTTCCCCTTTGCACTGGCAAAGGGAATCCTGAAAATTCTGATGTAACACAGAGACCAAACTAAGTGGTAGAAAAGAAAAAGGCTGGATTTTTAAACTTGACTCAATATTGACATTACTGTACTGCCTCCCCGGCTACTCCACCTGGCCTGTGTAATTGAAATGTCAGAGCCAAGGTGTAATTGAAATGTCAGAGCCAAGGAGGAGGTGGCTGCGGACCCTGGGCACCCTGAAAAATGCAGTTTGCTGGGGCATTTCTGCACCCAGGGGGCGGACTGAAAACCCATGGGGCCCCCGGGCAATAGAGGATAATGGGGCCGCTGTGTCCTTGGCCAAACTCAAAAAAGCCTATGAAAAAGGTACCAGGGGCATCTCATGGGGCCCCCTACTGACCCCAGGCCCTCGGGCAGTGCCCGAGTGTCCAAATGGTCAGTCTGCCCCTGTCTGCACCCCTCTAAATGTTGCGCCTGAAGCAACCGCACAAGCTCCCCCCCCCCACACTACGCCACTGAAGGGTAAGTTCACTTTTCCAATAAAAGTTACTATGCATTCAATCACTCCCAGAAAAACACTGTTCATCTTTAAAGGTGCTTCTTTTAACCACTTGACATCTGCACTATATGCGAAGGATGGCTACAGCGTGGTTGTCCAGTTCTGGGAGAGCGTCATATGACGTTCTCCCAGAACGTACCCAGAGCCACACGCACCCAGCGCTGTCAGTGATCGCTATGTCCTATGGAGACAGCTGATCACATGACTAGGTAAAAGGCCAATCACAGTGGCCTTTTACCACGTGATCAGCTGTGTACAATGACACAGCAGATTACAAAGTAATCAGTGCCTTGATTATCAGTGCAGATTTGCTCTGTGACAGTTGCCAGTTATCGGCAGCACTTTCCTCATGTTGTCACAGCATGAGGAAAGTACTGCCGATAACTGTAAAATGTCATAGAGCATATCTGCACTGATAATCAGGGCACTGATGATCAGTGCCCTGATCATCAGCGCCCAGCAGTGCCACCCATCAGTGCCCAGCAGTGCCACCCAGCAGTGCAACCCATCAGTGCCCATAAGTGCCACCCATCAGTGTTGCCCAGCAGTTGCGCCCATCAGTGCCACCCATCAGTGCCGCCCATAAGTGCCATCAGTCAGCACCGCCAGTCAGTGCTGTCAGTCAGTTCCACCAGTCAGTGCTGCCCATCAGTACTACCTATCAGTGCTCATCAGTGCTGCCTGTCAGTGCTGGCTATCTGTACCATCTCATCAGTGCCCACCAGTGCTGCCTATCAGAGCAGCCTCATCAATGCACATCAGTGAAGGAGAAAAATTACCTCTTTGCAAAATTTTATAATAGAAACAAAGAAAAGCTTTTTTTTCAAATTTTTTACTATTTTTTTTCTTTATAATGCAAAAAATAAAAAACTCAGTGATGATTAAATACCACCAAAAGAAAGTTTTAATTGTGTGAAAAACAATGATAAAAAAGTTCAATACAATGTTGCATGACCGTGCAATATTCATTCAAAGTGCAACAGTGTTGAAAGCTGAAAACTGGCCTGAGCAGGAAGGAGGGGAGTGGGAGGGAGCTGCTGCAAGACAAGGAAAGAGAGCACACCCCTCATATGTGGTTTTTGAACGAGGCAGAGCACGTACTCCTGCAGGGCTAGGGGTCACGGCCCAATGTATGGCATGTCCTGTCATCTAGGTAGGATGGGAAAAGTTGGTCACTCTAGGAACTTTGCTGACATGTTTGGAAAAAACTGCCCATAGCTTACAGTATATGGTTAGATTTAGATATGCGTCTAAATCTTCCTTGCCTCTAAAGTCCGATCCGCGTTTGGAATGTGCTCCATAGGCTACTGACAAGCAGTGAGGAAGTGATGCAATGTCTCCTCACCATCTCTTTTAACCTCTTTTTTCCAACAAACACGCTGCAACTGCATGCATTGTACACGGTTGTGGAGTGTTTGTGCTGCTTTCCCCATTGACTTGAAAGTGTAGAGTTCAACAGGCTTGCTGTTTGCCTATTGCTATATGTTGGGTCAACCTTACCGCAGGTTCAAAGGGAAGCATCACAGCTGTGGCATGTGGGCAAAAAGGTCGCTCAATCATGCATTTTTGCCACCCCCAACCACAGGTCTAAACGAGGCCTAAAACACTTAACAAAGCTTTTTTCAAAGCTGAAAAGTGTTTTTAATCTACTGGATGCATGCATTGTAACTTTTATTGGAAAGATTTTAATTACGTGTAAATCAAATGGTAAAGATCTCAATTATAGCAAGGCTTATAGACCAGATAATTGCTTATTGCAACATCCATACATTTCTGCCAGTCTAAAAAAATATGGCTTCTTGTGTATAATAGGGCTTGTACAGTATAGTATATGATTGACTTCATTGCTTTTTATTCACTCTTATTAGAAATCCATCTATTCAGCCAGTTATGTAATATGCTTATTGTTTGCATATAATAATACCTTGCTGAAAAATTGCAGCTATTTATTATACAAGTGCCTAAGCAGCATAATATACATTGCTGATGTACATGGTATGTTGATCCATTTTTTATCCTAACAATTACAGTATCTCTCATGGGACAAAGTAATGTGAAGTTGAAGGACAAAATTGCTTTGTCAGCTGAAAGCTAAGAACTAAAATGCTAATTTTAGAGAAAAGAGAAGCAGTCAAATTGATTAGTTAAGGAAAACCTCATGAGCTGTATTTTCTAGGTTGATATGCGAATTTCATATTCTAACAGAATACCAAATGAGAAAATGTTTACAGTAGATTACAGTTTCCACCTGGCTGGTATCGTTAGCGACGTTATAAACTGGTAAACATCATTAAGAACATGTGGTTTGGGAAACAACTAGGTAAGAGGGAGATGCGTAGAGTGAGCATTGAAGCTTTGCGATTTAAAGAAACTCAGTCAGTCTCTAAAAGAAAAAATAAACAAACTTGAAGTTTTAAGAGATGGGCTTACCTCCACTCGCAGCTTAAATTAAACCCATAATGCTTCAGAATGATGACCACCCATATCCAAAGAAAGGTCTCTATGTCCCTCTCTGTGTTCCTGCTTAGAAGATTCCTTCTAACATTTTGCCCCAGTGACCAGACTGGAAGTGAAAGGAACCTTGCCTTTTGACAACACAGACTGCATTTTAAATACTGATAAGTGTTCAAACCCTTATACCAGGAGTCACTAAATGGCAGGCCATGGTCCAGACATGGACCAAGTGACAGTTCTGTCTGGACCACGGCCGTACCACTTAGCAGACTGAGAGGACTTCTCTCCTGCTGCCACTGCTGCAGTTAAAACTCACATCACAGCAGATGGCTGGAGGCACAGTATGGTGGATTCCTTTTCTGTGTGTATTCACCTGCCTCCTGCCACTGCTGTTGAACTCAATCAGTGAAGAGGGCGGGAGGCTCGGAAGGCCTACACACAGAACAGGAGCTGCCCAACCTTTCAAATAAACAAGCGAGTGATGGGCTGCTGGGACATGAGGTGGCACTAGCAACCAATCACTTGCCTGTTAACAAGAAGAGTTTGGTGTTTCCCGCCCTCAGTGCAGACCTTCCGTGCCTCCCACCCTCATCCCTGCTTGAGTTTAGCAACAGCGGCATGCAAATACATACAGAAGAGGAATCCACCCTACTGTACCTCCCTCTATCTGCTGTGCTGTGGTAGAACTGTAAAGGGGTAAGAGATGTAACTGCAGTGGGGACTGAGGTTTAATGGGGGGGGGGGGCTGAAATTGATGTAAGTAGGAGGCGTCTGTGATGTGAAAGGGAGTTGTGATGTAAGGGGGTCTGTGATTGTAATGGGGGCTGTGATGTAAGGAGGGGGGAGGTTGTGATGTGAAAGGGGGTTGTGATGTAAGGGGGGGGGGCTGTGATGTAAGGAGGGGGGAGGTTGTGATGTGAAAGGGGGTTGTGATGTAAGGGGGGCTGTGATGTGATGTAAGGAGGGGGGAGTTTGTGATGTGAAAGGGGGTTGTGATGTAAGGGGGGCTGTGATGTGAGGAAGGGGGGGGGGTCTGTGATGTGAGGAAGGGGGTCTGTGATGTGAGGAAGGGGGGGGGTCTGTGATGTGAAAAAGGGGATTGAAGACCCTGATGTAAAGAGGGTTGTGATGTAAAGGGGGGCAAGGCTGGGATGTGAAGGACCTCAGTCATAGAACAAAAATGAGATTTGAACCTCTACAGAAAGAAAATATTACTAACTGGATCTCCTTAAATTTTAATTCACTACCCCTGCCTTATACATTCTATTAAAACATAGCTTTTGTTGCTATGTGTCTCTGTGTTTTTATTTCCTCCTCAAGCGATCTCACTGGAAGTGAGGACAGCATGGACACAGTAAACAATAAAACCCCACTGTTTTGGCTAGCATTCCACTCAGGCCTGAATTTATTTTTAACCAATATCTCCCATCTCCTATAGCTGGGAGGCACTGTGGAACAGATTCTTTGAAGAAATGTTGTTTTAGTTTGACAAGAATTGTCATAATAATGATTCTACAGATGCAAAATCAGGTCTCAATGGGTGGTCTTGTAAGATGCAGGAATATATTGCTGGAGGTCAGCATGTTTATTATGTTCTGCTTACAAGTCGGTATCCATCAAAAGTAGAAGTGTTGTCATGGGCCTGACTGTTGGAAGTAGCCTATTTATTATACAATGTGCAAATACAGCAGCATGTTGCTGCAGCTCACGGCATAGAATGATGTTTGGTTTGATGCTTCCCAAGTACTTCTGAGGTTCTGTATTTGTATATTGCAAAAAAACATTTTCAAACTGCAGTCAAGCAGAGGAATCGATTTCTACAGGTATAATGATTTTGGCAGCAAAGGAATAAACAAAGTGTAATGGTGGTCTAGACTTGGTGGTAAGTCTATTATAAGGCTTATTTTTCAGCCAAGGGAGTGTCTACATGTCTTGATTTAACCTCCCTAGCGGTCTGATTATGTCCATATTTCTGTGCTCAAAGCGGTACATTTTTTTGCATGGAAATATGTATTTTTTTTATTGTAGGCCTGTAATTTATAGGAAAACTCACTGAAATCTGCCTGAACAAGAGTTTAGTAAATATCCCGGGTATGATAAAACTTGAAACACGAAATCAAAAAATTATAATCTAATAAATAATCATAAAAAATAATAATATAATAATAATAAATTTAATTCAATAATATAATCAAACCAAAAACACTGAAATTTGAAATAGAGCGCCAAGTTCGCACATCACTGAGCAAAGTCGCAAAATCGTTTTCAGTGTCTGATGACGAGTTTCCCCACGAATCATTATCACTCAATTCTGCAAGTGGTTATAATTTACTATCACTGTTCTCTAGCTGGTCTAAAAACGCTTTTGACCTAAAGGGACGCTTTTTGGACGCCATGGACGTTTCTCGGTTTCCAGGCAGAAAGAACAGTAAAAATGCAGGCAGGGCACAGGACAAAGCAGTAGGGACAAAATGTATGTGAAATGGTTTGATACAGTAATGTTTTACTATGTGATTTTAGTGTATTTAGTGAATGTCACTTTTTGTCATTTTCAAATTTCCCGCCGTTCCGTCCCCCGTACGTCCCGACGCTCGCAGGGGACGAAACCCAGATGACAGATGCCGGCATCCGCTGGAGGACATTGCCGGGGACACTGCAGGAGGGACATCGCGGGAACGCAGGACAAGGTAAGTGACCGAGGGATCGCGGAGCAGCGCCACATGATAAGCCCGAGTGTAGCTCGGGGTTACTGCTTGTGGTACTGAAACTTTACCCCGAGATACACTCGGGAATACCGCCAGGGAGGTTAATGGATACAATTTTAATACATTTCATGTATTATTATGTTCAGTTATCTTTATAGTAGATGTTTTTTTTTTAATGTGGAAAGCATAGTCCACCTTTGGGACCATGTTTTATGTTACCTATATTTGGGGTGTAACATGAAACATGGTCACATTCCCCAACCCCACCCTCAAACCGCCTCACCTGCACACCTATCGGAGTCAGGTCGTGCTCCTCCATGGAGGGAATACCCTGTTGCTGCTTGAATTTAGCATCCATTCACAGGGATCTGTGAAAGGAAGAACTAGAAGTCCAAGTCTTCCAAAAGAGCAGAGGGACTCACAGATCGTTCCAACACAAGTGTGGAAACATCACCGTATTTCAGTAAAGCTCCTAACTGTCCCTCATTTAGAAGGACTGCCCCTCTTTTGAGATCAGGTCCCTCTGGCCCTCTTTTCTCCTTAGTTGTTCCTCTTTTTTTG